TACCAACCAGTCGAACAAGCCGGTTTTCGCAAGGGCTTCTGCTGCATGGACCATATCCACACTATCACGCAGCTGATAGAGCGGACCAGGGAATACAAACAACCACTCCTTCTCTGCTTTATCGACTATGCGAAGGCATTCGACAGTGTGGAGCACAACTCTGTCTGGAACGCATTGCACCATGCAGGAGTCGATCCATGCTACATCAACCTCCTGGAACAATGTAATACAGACACGTTTACCACCATCCGCATGTTCCAACAAGAGCTTCGTGTGCCGATTGAGAAAGGAGTCAGGCAGGGTGACACGACATCTCCTAAACTATTCACCACCGCACTGAACCACGCGATGCTGCAACTGGACTGGGACGATAAAGGCATCAATATCGACGGCAGGAAACTATCCAACCTGCGCTTCGCAGACGATATCGTCCTCATCAGCCAAAACCGAGAGGAGCTGCAGCAGATGGTGGAGGAGTTGGACGACGTCAGCAAAGCCATTGGCCTCACGATGAACAGGAGCAAGACAATGGTCATGCGAAACGAATGGGCGGATGCGTCACCCATCACACTAGAAGGGACCACGTTACCGTTCACCGACTCCTATGTGTACCTCGGCCGTCTAATTTCCATGGACAACAACCTGCGTGCAGAAATTATGAGGCGCAGAAGATGCGCGTGGGCGGCAATCGGAAACATAAAAGAAGCGGCTCATCTGGAATCGGACAAGGAAGTACGAGCTGACCTTTTCGACTCTACGGTATTGCCAGCACTCTGTTACGCATCCGAGACGTGGGCGGAGAACAAGACGTCAACGCTAATGCTGGTTCGCGCACAAAGAGCTCTAGAGCGGACGCTGCTGAAGATCAACCGCGCAAAGCAGAGAAGCCTTAACCTCCGCAGCGCACACATGCGCTCAATATCCGGCATCTGTGACGCCGAAGTGTACGTGTGGAACGCAAAGAAGATGGGCAGCGCACGTGGTTAGACGCACGGACAACAGGTGGACCACTCGCGTCACGTTCTGGTACCCACGTGAGATTAAACGCACATTAGGCCGTCCTGCAACGAGATGGAGTGATTCACTGAAGAAACTTCAGGAAAACGATGGTCAACACTGGTCCCAAACCGCTCAAGATCGTCAAAAATGGATGGAAGCGTGTGCTCGCCGCTGAGAAATATCAGCCGACAACGAGCGTCCAAGTATCCAAGTAAGTATTCACACAATTTTTATTTGTGCGTAACACGTTTTTGTTCACTTAAATATATTGTCCTCTCACTAAGCTACTCTAGTTCGATCCCGTTTTCCAAGTTGTTGAGCGGTGTCTTTTTTTTTGGGTTCTGGCCGTCGTGATATTTAATGGGTGAGTTGCTTAGCTTTTCAGTGTAAATACTACCATTCGAGATGTCATTAGGGCTCGCCCTTTGATAGCCTCTAGCGACTACCCACTGTTTTTTTGTTGGTCTTAGGTTTTACACCTCCACTGTTAATTTATTAATTCTATTGATTTAGATACTATTTTACTTTATCGACCTACTTGCTTTTTGTGGAAATATATACTGCAGTTTAAGCCAGTGAGTTTTTTCTCATTTTTATGTACTCTGTTCATCAATTATTTTACGAATAGCTTTTGTTTTTGTTATGTTTTCTATTTTTGCGTTTGTTTATATCGAGTGTTGGTTCTAAGGTTTCACCTTCCAATCCGTTTTATAACTAGTCTTAAGTTTAGTTTTTTGTTTTCATTGTTTGTGGGCATACCATCTAAAAGCAACAATGTTAGGGAATGAGTATGAGGAAGATTGGGTGTCAGAGATGTTCGGGTCGTCGTCAGTCGTTGGCTAGGAGCGCCTCTTCGAGGACGGCGAAGAATACAGCGAAGTTGGTTACATAGGGTTCTGGTAGGTGCATAACCTTACCATAAGGGATTCGTTTCACAGAGTGGAGCTGCAATTCCTTTCACGAAGGTGGAGGTTGAGCTCATACTAGAGAGGTATGTCGACAACTACGATGTCTACCATAACTCAGTCGTAGAGATGTCGAAGTAGGGGCTTCTGGTAGGCAATATTGTTACTGCCTACTGCGAATCGCGTTCGATAGCAGGCCAAAAAAAGAATGATAACCGAGTTGGCGTAAGAAGTCAACGCACTAGGTGTGGCTAGGAGAAGTGATTGGCAGGTGGACCAAAAGTAAAAGATGAAATCAAAGTTTTAAAGAGATACGGGAGTGCCCTGGTAAGATTGAGAAACGGTAGACCTTGACTTTATAATTATGCCGCTTTCTTGCTTCAGGTAAAAGAGGGGGGGGGNGGGGGGGGGGGGAGTCTGGCTTTGGAAGAGTCACTCTTCCGCGTCCTCAGAACGCACTTTCACAGGAGAGGCCAAAGATCGTGGTATTGAAAGAAGGGTGGAGGTCGGCCAAAGGGCAGTAAAGGTAGTTTTACTGCGTTCTATGACTATTGAAATGTATGGAAGAATTTTTTTTCACAGCGCAGGAGGCTGAAGCCTCTTTCGCCCTTTTCTTCACCGTCCCCTTCGTACTCGCAGGTATTGTCCCCTTCGGGCTCGCAAGAGAGAGAGAGTCGGGGAGGGAGGAGAGAAAAAATGAAGGACAGGTAGGAGAATTGATCTTTTGGAACAAGGTGTAAAATTGATTTGACTTGAATGTCAATTACTTTCAGGTAACCATCACATCAGGGTTGATCTACGCTCGCCGATACTCATTTAAGATCTCACCTAACTGAGGTTATGTGTGTTCATTATTGTTCGTTTTACATATAAATGCGTTGATAATTAAATAGTAATTGTGAAGCTTTATGTTCAGAAAAGAAAGACAACCCAAGGAAGCATATAGTATGAATACAATGAAGTAAATCATCTACCCAAAGAAAACAATAGGCGAAGCACTCGTAGTATAATTGGTAAACTCGCAATTGATGATATGCTTGAAATTTCTTTGTCTCGGTTGGAGAAGTAGTGGCTAAAAAGTGATGAATGCTTAGTAATTTAGTATTCCGTAGTAATCAGTAGTAAAAAAGTTATCAGGTTGTCAGTAGAAATTATGTAGGTTATGAGTTAGTAATGATTTGATTATTACCTTTAAAATAGCGTGATATGAGGTCGTTCCTGAAAGAGATCGCATTTCTCTCGGGGACTTCATAGGAAGCTCCGGACGCCACCTCTTCACCTTGCTGGTCCTCCACAGGGTAGTAGTCGAAATCGATTGGTTCGTTTCGACTTATTGCAATATTACGAAGCACGCAACATGCCACCATTACTCGAGTGGCTTCCGCTGGAGAATACCTATAGTGGGTTTATTCAGAAGAACAACTGATAAAAAAGGAATTTCCGGTTGTTTCCACCTGCATTCGGCGTGCAAAATATGGAATTGCCGCTTCGGAATCCCAAACGTCTACTCTATCAGAACGCGAGCAGAGCAAATGGCTCTATCGTAGCGTTCCTCCGCAAAAAATAATTCGGCGATGGAATTATAAAAGTAATTGATAATGAATATCCTGTCTTGTCCTTGTAGTACTCCGAGGCTTCAACAGAAAGTTTTCCGCTGCATAGGCTAAATCCCCTGTCGAGACGCCCTTAGCTTCCCCCTTTTCAGCTGCTTGTATAGCAGCGATGTCTTGAAAGTGCGGGAATCGTGGGCAGATCTCGGCCATTTGGCGCATACCCATCTTATTTTCATATCGTTGTCAAACACGACTCCCACATTAAGGCTATGATATCCTTCCCTGCATATGTAGTCTCCCTCGGCATATTTAGATCTTTGGATACGGCAGTGAGTGCCGTCAATGATCCCAGTTATTCCTGGGAGGTCATCTTTTTGCTAGAAAAAGTTACTGATATTCAAGCCCTCTTGCCCATCCGACTAATTTATGAATCGAGTGGCTCTTCGATTGATAGCATTAGCAAATGCCATCAAAACACGCGAGACTGTAGATTGATGGCAGCCAGCAAGTCTAGCCGAATCGCTCTGCATCACGTTGCTTCCAAGTAAATGTATGGCAATGGCCACCTTATCAGCTACAGGCAAATCAGTTGTATGCCTTCCATGCTCGAGGTCCGGTGCCATCATTTCACAAATTTCAAAGAAAACGTGGCGAGAAAAACGGTAGTTCTTCCTAAACTTTACATCGCTAAAAGTCTCGTAGGGACGTGTTCTATCTCGAAACGTTCGAGGCACAGAGACTTCTCCATACTTCTGGACAAGATCAAGGGTTTCGATCACTTCCATCTCACCTATAAATTTCATCTTTACTAAAGTTTAATCATGGATAATACTGTGACAAAAAAAAACAAATGATAAGACGAGCAACATTATTTTTGTGAAAGCGACTTTGAACCTCAGAGGTGATCACCGATCATCTAGTTAACTTGTATTCCAATTACAAACTAATTCTATAAATCCGGGAAAAACGGCACCGAAACGCTCGTAAAATGATTATCTGAACAAAAACCATGAAGACTAAAGCGAACTTTAAAGGCTAAAAGAAGAGCACCAAGAGCCAAAAAATAAACGGCTGACCCTGACCAATTATTTGAATGGAGATAAGTAAACGTTTCTTAAACAAGACGTAGGGAAAATCATGGCCAAATGGAACAATTAGATCGAGAAGAACAACAAAGGGAGCAGAAACTAATAATTGGAATCTGAGAAAGTAAAGCTTATATGACTTTCCTCTTAAAATCGAAGGAGCGACGAGCTACGAGAACAAGATTGCTTTGAATGAGATTGCTACCTGAAATTATTCCGGATGAAAAACAAACTGAAAAGGAAAACGAGTAGATGTTACACGATTAAATTTGCGCTACTCTCCACACCTCGTTAGGATCAACATTAAGAATAAGGAGCAAATATCAAGGCGAAAATAAAGAATACGAAAGAAGGCAGAGTCATGAGCCACGAATTTCCACGCGTAAAATAGTAGATGTACAACGAATACGATTAAATATTAAACAACAAATAAATGACCCGAAAAGTTACTCGTACTTGTCAAAGTAATCCGCCTTTCTTTTTTAGAATTACACCAGGATCCTGTTGCAATTAACTCAAGATAACTGGTGTAAGTTTCCAGAGTAGAACCTGTTTATCAAATTATTCACTGCCCATCAAGAATACAGATTCATCGGCCATGTTAGTAGTAGAATAATGTAAGTAGAGAAATACCTGACGCATTAGATAGCAGATAGTGGCAAAATAAACAGCAAAACGAATAAACCAGTGAAAAACGACAGTAGTTGAATACAAGCAGAGAAATACCTGATGCATTTGATGGCAGATAATTGCGGAACAAATAGCCGAATGAATAAACCAGCTAATAAGGAGACAGTAGTTCAATACAAGTAGAGAAATACTCGACAAACTTGATAGCAGATAGTAGGAGAATAAACAGTAGAATATAATCGTGAGTAACAGGTAACAATTCACCTGAACAACATCGACTACACCAATACACAGTCACTGGAATGGATGCAGCAGTAGAATAAGATCAGAGCAATACTTGACGAATTTGGCAGCAGAAATCAGAGGAATAAGCGCTCAATGGAATAATGTAGTGAATAGCAAAGTAGCGGTATACCATCGGCACCCTAGCGCAATTTTAGGGGTAGATCCATACCCGCCCTGGGTAAGGTAAGAACGCAGAGGCCAACATCACATGATAGTCGAGGGCTGTCGATTCTTCACCTGTTTATAGGAAAAAACTTTGCTTCATGGTCACTATCTTGACCCAAAACCTACTATTTGAATGTTCGCGCCATTCGCAAACATTTCCTTGTGGAGACTCCCCCATTCCGGGTATGGGTACTTACGTGCGTCCGAGGATGCGCGCGGCAAATTGCGCTGCGAAGTGCGTGGTGATTCGAACGACTCTGGCGCCTATCATCGGGGTCCAAACTCGAAGTAGAGTAGTTTAGTAGGGTCAGCTGATACCAATAATCTACTCTACTTTAAATTTGGGCCACAATGATAGGCGCCAGCGTCGTTCGAATCACCACGCACTTCGCCGCGCAATTTGCCGCGCGCATCCTCGGACGCACGTAAGTTCCGTCCCCCCTCCCATTCCCTACCCTGGGTGCCATGCATACGCCCCTGTTCTTATATTTTGAGAAGAAAGATCGTCAAAAAGTGGAAATATAGATAAATAAAACAAGGTATACAACTGCAGTCCATCAATGGGCTAATGAGGACGCTGACCCGATTATATATAGATGAATGATATTTCAAACGGAATCTTTTTATTAACTGAGGTACCGCATTGTCTGTGGATCACGTTACTAAAAGGAGCTCTGTGAATGTCAACCGTTGTAATAACCATTTAACTAGGATATGTCGCGTGATACCTTCATCTTTTCGCTTATCCTCTCCAACATTCACACTAGTAAGGAATGTTCCCAACATCGTGCCGTCTCGTACGAATGGTTAAGCTAAGTGCCACTAGACAACAATCTACTTTTCGCTAGACTTCTTTCTGTACTAACTCTTACCGATCACTTCGCCCCGTGGCTTCAGTGGTTTATCAAGGATTCGAACCTCCTCCCCATAGTTCTATTTCTATCGTGCGTTAATAACAAAAAGTTTATTGCCAAATGATAGAATGAAACCTTGGGCTGTTGGACCATATATGTAAGAGGTGGGAGGGCGATTTGTGAAGATTCAAAGATCATATTTTTCAGTCATGGTCAGTCTGGGTGGTACAGAACTATCTAGGGAGTTTTGTAGCTTTCTGTTCTCTGTATTCTACCAACAAGACAAAAGCCCTCCCTTTCTCAACTGCACTTTATGAAATGGCTTCTACGATTATTCCCTTCATATTTTTCATCCCCCATTATGGTCAAATTTCGCACACGCTGCTACGAACTCATGAAGGAAGATTCATCTGTCATTCTCTTTGACTTCGTCGAATTCCGCGTATGTGAAGTTTAAAGTTTAAGAAAAATATAATAATCTTGCAAAAGTGGTATATAACTGATTTATATACAGCTACAAAGATCAGTCGGAAAGACAGCGCGAAAGAAATCGCGTCGCAATGTTGATCTTTATCAGTACAGTTCCACACAGGTTTGTCGGAATGATCATACTATTCCTTCTTTTCTTCTTCCTTCTTCTCCTTACCCTCCTCTCCCTCTTCCTGCAAAAAATGGTTGTCGACACAAGATATAATCTGTTCCCTTTTCACGGTTTTTTTCTAGTGGGTAGAATGAAGTGCAAGCGATTGAGGAGCACTTACCTTCTTTTCCTCCTCTTTCTTCTCTTCCTAAAACATATAGTTTTCATACTGGATTAAGCGAATTTTGGCTGTAAAATCTATTTTGATGAAGACGACTCAGATCCACCTTTGGAGCCTCAGCTTTGGAGCCCTCCTTCTTCTCAGCAGGTGGTTCGGCCTTAGAGCCTTCCTTCTTCTCAGCAGGTGGTTCGGCCTTAGAGCCTTCCTTCTTCTCTTCCTTTAAAATAAGCAACTGTGGAAAACAATAGTGAGAGTAACTGTTGAAATGCAGTTAGCCTATTCAGTGTTAATGGTTTTCCGATGTTTGCTAATCATTAGAAATACATTATGGATGAGGGGAAAGCGCGCTTACCAGACCATAGGGCCGACAAGGGATAGGGGCTCATGGTCAGTCGCGTTTTTTTTCGCATGAGCACATCTTTTCATAGGAAATCGACTGATTATCAACACTCTTTCATGAACGAAACAGCAGTCAACTTTCTTCGGCTTTGTTTCGCGTCGGCTTAAGAAGAGCCGGCAGGAGTCAGATAAGTTGCATAATCACTGATCGAGCAACGGCTGCATACATTACTGTAGGGAGGCAATGTAGTCGCTCCTTACCAGCCAGACCGAATCATCCTGTCTAGGCGGGACTGCTTTGAAGAGGACTGAGTGTAACATATTTCTCGAAGAGTTCTGACATAACACCGGCAGCCGTCTTTGCATTCAATTCAAGCCCTAGGAGCTCTGTCGGTGGCTGTGGTGCACCAAACCTTGGAAAACTGGAAAAAGTTTTTTAGGCGATCTGTTCTTCAAGTATTTGATTGCATTTGTTATTCAAGTATTTAAATGTCTTTGGAATAGCCTTTCCATGCTCGTTTATTGACGGATCCCGAACCTACAGGGACCTCTCAACATCCTTGTGTATCAAGAAGGACCAAGAATCGCTTCTTCCACAACGCAGTAAGTAATGGTGACTGCATTCTGTTTAAGTAGAATCCACGATTCTGAGGTAAAGAAGGAATCAAGGCTATAGCGAAATAGGTGGCCAGAACATAATGACAGGTTGAATCGAACGTATCAAATGCCCAATTTAACCATGCCTACTAACATGATAGTCTCTGAAGTGATCACTTCTTGTGTTATGGATGGATGCGATGAGTTCGTAATTTATAAAGATCAGGCTTGACTTATAGTGTAATTAGAAGTTCGATGAAATACCCTTCTCACTATGCAGATTCATACCGCTTTTCCTTCAGGTGGAAATGCCTTTCTTTTCGTCGGCATCTGATAAACATTGAATACACGGGTCTTCACGCTCCAATAGTCGACTGTGCGTGACTCTGCCGCGTACCTTTTTTTTCGCAGATTGAGCCTCAAAGGAACTTACACTTTGTGACCAGGTCGTGGAGTGGCCATGAGTTGAACTCCCTTGTTGCTGTTCTATTAGTTATCGGACCGTTGGAAAGAGATGAAGTTATCATTTCCCTTCGTATGCCATTTCTCCGAGATCTAGTCCCCAGTTAATAGAGAAAACCCACAGAGCACTCCCGAGTAGCGTAAGAAAAGCAGGGAGTGCAAAGGGTAAGAATTATAGTACTGACAACTCCCGTTTTATAATCCAGACACTCATTCTGCGTATACTCTAAACTAGGAGAGCGCCTACACCAATAGTACCTGGTGGAATGGAGCGTACAAGTCACTGAAATTCACAGACGTGTTTAAGACCAGTTAATTCACCTTACAGGGAAGGAGTACCTGATTGGTTCAGGACGGTATCGTTCCGGGACCTCACTACTGGACCGTAGTGTAGCATGTTACGTGGTGTTGCTCCACATCTGCATAGACTATAGGCTATGTCGAGTTTGACTGGAGAAACTTGAAAAGATGCTATCCAACGAATTGAAGAGAAAAGGGGCTCGAGTCGAGGAAAACGCTCGCAGCAGTAGCAAAGAAAAGAAGAGCAGCCGTAGTTTTCCTTGAGTCGCTGTTCGCAAGTTCAAAAGACATGCTTCCGACACGCTTCAGACGGACTGTGCGAAGCAATACAAACAGCAAAAGTAGTCTCCGTCTACGACGTTTCTCTGTTTCTTCGACCGTAATGCGCGTGACATCCTTATTCAGTACCCTCACTCCTTGTAGAAGAATGGCGCCCATTTCTCAATACACACTATGTCTTTTAGTTGACTAGCTATTCATATGAACATGATTTCATGATTTTTTTACTGATCTTCTCTGGAGAGGCTGCTCTACAGAGAAGATCACACTTCCTTCAAGGTCATCGTCGGTGATTTTAACGCCAAGTTTGACCCTAGAAGAACGGCTGAAGAGCTCCACATCGGGACTCAAGGAAAGGAATGGAATGAGCACGGTGAAAGGCTGTCCGAGTTTATCGTGTTGACCCACACCATCCATGGTAAATCGCAACTCCAGAAGCCCTCTCATTTGCGATGGACATGGGAGTCACCTGCTGGACAGTCCCATAATGAAATAGACCACATCATCTTCGATCGGAGAATTTGCCTGGCTGACGTCGCTGTTGTTCTGAAGTTCCACACGGGATCGGGCCATCGTTTCCTCCCAGCTAGATGTCGCTTCTCAGTGCGTGGAGAGATAGCTATGAAGAATAGGAAGGGAAGCCCGAAGACTTCCACCAACTGGGACCACTTCGCTTCCTTTGCGAGCAAATGGGAAGATTCCGTTATCGATAACATCGGTGAAGAACACAATCGGTTCGTCGAACATCTTCGCGATAGCGCTAGGAAAGCAGAAAGTCTTCAAGAGAACAAGATTCGGCTCTATTCGAAGACTCTTGAGCTGATACGCCAGCATGGAATCGCGCGAGCTACAGGCAATCATCAACAAACGTCGGAACTTGCGAAGCTATGCAGAGAAGCGATAAAGGAAAATCTGAGAGAGGTGGGTGCAGTTATGGACGATCCCGAACCAAGAAAGAGCATTCACAAAGCCCGACGGATTCGCCAATTACATGACCGAGATGACTACCTTCGTCGTCCTGACGGAACGTCGTACTGCATCTCGATGCCTACCTACCATCTTAGGCAAGACGAATATATCGCTCCTTCGGTTCTTCCTTCCGAAATACGACATGCCATCACGTCGATGAAGAATTGTACGGCGCTAGGTCCTGATAGGATCAGACCAGAACATTTGAAGAGTCTTCCACCAGTCATCTTCAGAACTCATCACGCGGAACCTGTCCTGTCGGAATGCAAAGTGTCCTTTTTGTAGAAAATTAGCAAGACTGTGTTGCTGTATAAAAAGGGAGATCCAGACGATATTGGCAATTATCGCCCAATCTGCCTGCTGTCTGTAATCTACAAGATTTTCACTCGTGTCATCCTGAACAGGCTTGGTAGAATATTAGATGAAGGACAACCATGTGAGCAAGCAGGTTTTCGGAGAGGGTTCAATACAATCAATCATATCCACACTCTTACGAAACTTATCGAAATATCACGAGAACCCAAAATGCCGTTATGCCTTGTCATCGATTTGAAGAAAGCCTTCGAAACTGTCGAGACAGAAGCGGTAATTAGCCCTGGGCAACCAGGGGCTCCTACTCAATATATGAGGATGCATCGTGAGCCTCATCTTCACGACCAGGATTTCACCATTCTACGAGGAAGCCATTATGTACGTAAGGAGAGGTGCCCGGCAGGTTGATACCATTTCGCCCAAACTTTTCAGTGCTGCTCTCGAGAACATCATGAGTCATTTGGAATGGGAAGACTTGGAAGTGAAGGTCGACGGCCGCTATTTACATCATTTCCGCTTTGCAGATGACATCGTTCTTATAACACCCAACATCGAGAAGGCGGGACAGTTGCTGGCCGAGTTTGGCAGTGTGTGTGGAAGAATCGGCCTGAGACTGAACTTAACGGAGACGATATTCGTTAAGAACGGATGGTATCTGACGCTCCCTTCACGCTAAACGGGAAGGATATCTCCGAATGCTCTAGCTATGTGTATCTTGGTGGGGAAGTCAACACGATGAAAGACCTAGCTACGGAGCTGTGCAGAAGGAAACGCGCCGCGAGGAGAGCATTTAAGAATATCGAGGGAGTAGTAAAGAAGGCAAAGAGCATCGACTCCGCGCTCACGTTTTCGACACTGCTGTCCTTCCTGCTTTGACGTACGCCTCGGAGACTTAAACTCTACGAAAGCAGGATGAGCATGTTGTCAACGTTACTCAACGCGCTTTGGAAAGGACGATGCTTGGAATTTCGCTATACACGCAAGTGCAGAAGGGGAGCCGTAGTTCCGTGCTCCGTCATCGAACGAAGATCAGGGATGTCGTTGATAACGCCAGGAATCGAAGATCAGGTGGGCCGGACACGTTATGCGATATAGTGGTGACCGTTGGACCAGGACGGTTACTGACTGGATCCCTCGGGACATCAAACGAACTCCACGACGTCCGCCAACAAGATGATCAGACTTCTTCACGAAAGCTCTGAACGAATGGAATGATGGACCTCGTGTCCCTGGAGCGAGAGCGATTCACTGGACCACTCTGGCTCGTGACAGGGACGAGTGGAGACGTTACTGGTGTCCGCTCGAGGAAATCGATGATCAACGGGACGACAAGTGATGCAGGTGATATTCTTAATCCTGATACAATACGCAGTTATAATTTTCATAGCATAGCTGCATGGTTTCGGTGTTTCATTTCACGTCCTCTCGATTGCTTATGTTTTTCCATTCACTAGATCCTCCGCTTCCGCTTGCTACGCTGATAACGCCCGGCTATGTCTCTCATAACCACTTGAACCTCCTTGTTCAATAGAAGAATGGCTACTATATGACATACACGGAGGAAAGCATTTTCTCTCGCACAGTGGAAGGTGCAGCTGATCCTATTGTATGATCGCTACCTAGCCAACTATGTATCGTGGGGCCTTGAGTTACCCTCAGAAACTATGCAAATCCTTACGAATTCCTTTTTTTTTGAGCAAGGTATTTTTCTCGCTGACACTTGTTCCTCTTGAAAGTGGCTGAAGTTACTCACATGGGGCAAAATGAATAACGCTTATATCGCTAGTGAGTAATATACTGATTAGCTCAAAGTCAGTCCTCATTTCGAATCGAACGCAATAGGATGGCGGCCTAAAGTGCTGCTCCGAACCTAAAACTTATCTACAAAACTGACCTTCTTTTCCTCTTCTTTCTTCTCTTCCTTCTTCTCTTCCTCTTTCTTTTCTTCCTTCTTCTCTTCCTCCTTCTTCTCTTCCTTCTTCTCTTCTTCCTTCTTCTCTTCCTTCTTCTCCTCCTTCTTTTCCTCCTCCTTCTTCTCCTCCTTCTTCTCCTCCTCTTTCTTTTCCTCCTTCTTTTCCTCTTTCTTTTCTCCTCCTCCTTCCTTTTCTGCTGACTTCTTCTCACCCTCAGCTGGCTTTGCTGGCTCTTCCTGTGTTGGCAATATATTAACTGTACAGTGTATTTTACAAGAAGATTCCGCCTCTAATCAAAGAAACACTGCATCCTTTTTTACCTTCTTCTCTTCTTTCTTTGCACCTGGCCCTCCAGGTGGTGCTGGTTTGCTCATAACTGATGGTGTGGCTTTCTTACTGAATCACTGATATCAGCCGATCCCTTACCAAAGGCATAAAAACCTGCTACAGTCCTAACAAAACGCCAAAACACTCACCCTTTCTTTTTACCCCCACATGTTGCCAGCGAAATGATGGCAGCAAGTACAAGAGCGATAATCTGCAAGACCTCATTAAGTATCATACTTGCTCCGGCAAGCAGGTTGAGGGTTAGTAGGAATAAATGAACATATCCATACTCTACCAGTTTATAAAGCGGTTCTTATCAGTACTAGATCAGCGTTCGAATTCGACGCTCACCATTAACATGTCGCTCGTATCAGTGGAAATGGGCCCCAGATTGAGCCGTACTACCTTTTATAGTGGGATTTCAGCCACCAACTCTACGGTAGCTCAGCAGCCTTATAGCTGGTCGAGCTTGACCATTCAACTTCCAGAGGTGCGTGCGTGTAGTACTGTGCCCTATCAGCCGGATAAAACTCAGAGACTTCGTAGCATATGGGCTGTGAGCTAAAGGCGGTTGGTTTACTTTAAGCATAGATCCAGCACCGGTAATCCGCAGAACTTTGGCGCTGCACCGTTTGCGCTCTGAACTACGGCAGCAGAGTTGGGTATGGGTGCACTCACCCAGAACTGGATGGACGCGGCAAACCGCGCGGCGAAAACCGTGGCGATCAGAACGGTTTTGGCGCCTACCATTGGGGCACGGGTTTAAAGAATATTGGATAAGTAGGGCCACCTGATGCTATTTATCTATCCCATATCATTTTGTGCCCCAATGATTGGCGCCAGAGCCGTTTTAATCACCACGAATTTCGCTCGCGGTTTGCCGAGTCCATCCAGTCGTGGGTGAATGTTCCGTCCCGCCAGTAGTTTCGTGTTAGTGTGGAGCGGATAGGTTCAGGATGACAATAACTGACATAATAGCTGACTGCCGACATTTATTGTAAGCAGTCATAATGCGCCCGAACCAGGAGGATATATTTGATACCGATATCGCCTCAAACCAGCATGAGGCATGATGCTTTTATGGGAGTGTAGCTCACGAGCGGCAGATGAGGGTGTTCGTCTAGGCCTTAGAATAGGAGCAGTGAAACTGAAGAAAGCATTCAGATATCATGCCCAGACCTTTTATCGCAATGTATATTCTTCAAATCGAAAGAATGAATTGATAGCGCTGATTAGTTCCTCTGATTGATGTGACGATCACTCGTCGAGCAAATGTTGCTTGCAAAAGCAGACCGGAGTTGGATATCATTTCAAAGTTTCATAAAAAAAACGAGCCATCAAAACCGATGCAATAAGAGTGATGTATTAGGTTGGCAAATAAGTCCTGCGACAAAAAATTTGAAGCGTTGAAAATTTGTATCAACAGCGTGAACACGGTAGCAAGGGTGATAAACTTGTAGGACGTTCCCCGGGCAATCAACACATGAGTAGATATGGGCACGCGTATGGGCTTTCGCGGCATTACGGTCAATGAATGGACAACACCCGAATCATCACCTTCTACCAGGCACTCCAAGGGAAAAATGCGAGTGTAGTGGCTCGAAATATCATCAATCTATTCGATGCTAGCACTGCTCACCAATCAACGGTCAACAATCGGTTGGATCGCTTCACTGCGGGAGATACCAGCCTTCGGGGCTACGCAAGCATCGTCCCCTAATTCAATGGATGTTGGAGGAATTCATCCACTATGAGTTGCTAAACGCAGACTGGATGGACACAGCTATCGGCTGCCCCTATGATCCCCATAATTTGGCCAACGTGGTTAGGGAAGGGCGATCAAATCGTAAATCAGGCCCCTACAGAGGTACAACGCACGTCGAAAATTCGCTTTAGACCCACGTCAAAAGTTCACCGATCCCGCTTGGTTCCAGGTTACTCATCAGTCGTACTCCCGGAGTGCTCTTCCTTTTGACTATCATGTGCTCCGCC